ATAGGGTTGGAATAAATAGAACATCTTAAAATAATGTTGTATATTCTTATAGGGTTGGAATAAATAGAACATCTTAAAATAATGTTGTATATTCTTATAGGGTAGGGATAAATAGAACATCGTAAAATAATGTTGTATATTACTTAAAAATTTTAACACTCATTAATAAGCTTTAGAAAATAAAAACAATAGCGTTAAGATATAAAATATTTTTGCTGTATTATCAATATTAGTTCGCCTATATCAAGCGTAAATAACTGGTATTTATTGTAAGATGTACAATAGATGGGCAATGGAATATAATAATATCTACATACAGGTGAATTTCTAGTATATACTCGGGATTCGTCTACAAAAACATCTATATTTTAGGCGTACAAGAAGTGGGTATTGAAGCATGGAAAAGAATCGTTACTTCCAGGTCTTCATCTTTCCCACGACCAACTATTCTTTCTTAACTTTGCTCAGGTGTGTGTGTGTATAAACTATTAGTAATGCTATCTATCTATATATATACCGATCAATACTTTGCTATTAAATTAATATAAATTTTGTTGTTATTCAAGCATGCAGCCTTCGTATGTAAAATTTAGGGAAGCTCCCTCTTGGTTGAGTTATGTCAAAATGTGTCAAAATATTTATTTGTTGTGCATTATTTATCAATAAGTTATCATACATTTCATGATGTGTGAAAAAGTTCTGAACATTAGTTTTGACTTTTATTGTGCGTCTCAATCATAAACAACCATTAAAGAACTTGTTTAATGATGTACAATATTACAACAGTGATTTTATTCTTCTCTTACATCTTCTGTAGTTTCATTTTTCTCGCTTAGTTTTGTTGTATTTTTATTTTTCTGGATCTGGTGCGTTTGTATTTTTATATTAGATCTATATTAAATTTTATTTTTATTTTAGGTGTGCTGTTTTATATTTTTCTATTAGACTTGTAACGTTTATATATATATATATTTTTTTTTTAGATCTGGTGTGGAACCATGAGACCAGAGGACGCTCTTACCAAAATCCGGTCGTCTGTTCACAGCCCTGGGCCGGATACGGTAACATACGCTACACTAATTACACATGAACTTACGTTTGTTTGGATCGATACGGTAACATACGCTACACTAATTACACATGAACTTACGTTTGTTTGGATAGATACGGTAACATATGCTACACTAATTACACATGAACTTACGTTTGTTTGGATCGATAGATTTGATCTTATACAACGTAGACTAATTGTTACGTGTTTTTAGAAGAACGACAAAATAAACATTTCTGAGTTTTTATAAAGGTGATATGAGAAGGATTCTTGAGTACTCGTATAAAGTAAATATGTATTTTTAACAAAGAGTTCATGTTCTGAATGTTTCGTGTTTCTGGTACAGAACCTGCGTTGCTCATAAAACGGGGGCATAAAATCGTAACGTAGTCAAAACACTAATTATCTCAAAACCTCAGAGATAAAGTTAAACATATAAAATATATGTTTAAAATAAGAAATAAAAATTTCGTAAAAAACAGCACTTTGTTGAATTAAAACACTTCAATTAAATATTTACTGTCGAACAAAGATGGCGAGACATTCATTTGTTCTACAAAACGTTTATTATGACCATATTTATTTAAAATATTATTGGAACATTAATAAAAGGTTACTAAAAGTCCCATATGAACGACAAGGAAGTTTTTGATATTAATATTTATAAATAATGCCTTTTCAAGTTGTGTTTACTTATTATTGAACGAAAAGTACAATACCACAAAGTTGTCCCCCACATTTTAAATTGTGGGTACATTATAAGAACGACAATCAATTCCTTAGCGTTGATGATGGATGGTAGGGCGCTGTTGGCTGAATGCCTTTCCTCTCGTCAGTAGTTGTGCCCGGCATGGCCAGGTGGATAAGGCGCTCGACTCACAATCTGAGGGTCGC